CAATTTAACTCATACTATTGATATTATCATGCGGTAGTTTAGTAGAATTAACGTTTCAAGACCGAAAAATCATTTCGGCGATCATTTCAAAGAAACTACATACATAGTATATGACTTCACATAGAATCATACAAGTATTTAAAATCCAGCTAGATCGTTTAAGGCATTGATTTCTATAGTTTGTGTCATATGTTTATTACATATACGGTCCTATAATATATTATATTGTTTTACATTATATATAATTTTATATAATTATTATATTTTACACTTAATTGCAAATATTTTATATGCAGGTATATATATATATATTAGGTGTTGGAATTAATTCGTAGCGTTTTTAATGAAAGAATGTTATTTATTTCACATGAGCATTAAAAAATACATTAATGAAAGTACTTCCCATCACTTGTAAAACGCTACGAATTAATTCCAACACCTAATATATATATATATATATATATACAGGGTGTCCGGAATTTAAATGTCTAAACTTTGGAAGCCTGTAGATCGATAAACTGAGAAAAAAAGTCCTGTAGAGATATACTCGTTTTTACTTCGTTTTGGAAAAAATCGCAAAAAAGATAAAACGTAGTCATATTTGTACTTTTTTATTACTTATTTAACTACATTTTCTTTTTTATGATTTTCTCCAAACAAAACAAAAACGAGTAATGTTGCAACGTTTCTGCAATGATGCTGTAAGTTTGTGCTGTATGGGATGTCGAATGCTAGCTGTCAGTTATCTATATTCTTTTTACTACCGATGGATCATATATCAGTATGTCAACATGTTTTGTTGATACGAAAATCATATATTTAGTAAATGATAAAACACTTGTGACGAAATGTTATATAATTAAGTATTATCATGTGGAATAATCCTGAATTAATGAACGATATGTTTTAATTCATAAGACGATTACTACATTCCTGGCGGAAAAATTATATATTGTATTAGGTGTTGGAATTAATTCGTAGCGTTTTACAAGTGATGGGAAGTACTTTCATTAATGTATTTTTTAATGCTCATGTGAAATAAATAACATTCTTTCATTAAAAAACGCTACGAATTAATTCCAACACCTAATAGATTGAGACAAGATTTTAGAAATTATTAGTTTTTCATAAATATTCGTAATGAGACGTAGAATGATGTTGTTTGTTTGAAAAAACCTAGAAATTCTCTGCTCTCAAACAATGCCACTTTACATCTCACTACGAATATCTACAAAAAAATAAGAATTTCTAAGATCTTATCTAAATCTATGTAATTTTTCATAAAAAATTTTTTTCCACCAGAGATATTTCAAAATTCATTCTACAAATTTTTATATTACAGTTACAGATTTAAATTATGTGAATGATGCTATTATAAATTACGAATGACAAACAAATTACGAACATTAATGCGGAATAGAAGTCATAATGGTTTAGGGTCTTAAGTCATAGAAAATTAATCAATCATAGTCGAATATAAGAAGAATAATCGACTATGATTGGTCAATTTTCTACAACTTAAGATCTTACAATCGCTTACGATTTCTATAATATATTGTAAACTCCGTATTACAGAGTATTCATAATATTTACGAATTATTCACGGATAAAACTTATCTCGTATTTATACGTATATTAATTCGATGGAAAAGTAATGAATTAAATTAAATTCTTTAATTTCTTTCGATTAAAATATGTGACGTACCAGCGAATCGACCGAGTGGAATTTTGTTGAGCATATCTTGTGCTTTCTGTGGATCGCTCCAAGCCATTTTTCCCATGTCCGTCATCACAACTGTAGGACCGACACTATTGATTCTTATGTTATGCGGACCTGCTTCGAGGGCTATCGTCCTGAAAATATCACAAAGTGGGAAACTAACATGTTCCAAAAAAAGACATCTTCGATGAATTTAAAATCAACTTTTTTCGAAAATACTGGATAATTAATACAGAGTTAAATAACAAAAGACTGAAAATAAAAATTCAGAATTGAAAAACCTTAATAGATAAAAATAAGTAGTATACATATCATCTTATTCTATATTTTATTTTAATAAAATTTTAATTAAATCTTTTCCAAATTAAAAAAAAATTGACATCAAATTTATCAATATGGAAAATTTAATCGAACCCCAGCAGAATAAGCAGAATAAGTTTAAGTCATTATGATATCAAAATGATGTCAAAATGACTCCAAAATGATCATTAAAAGTCATTTTTCAATCATATTTTTCTGATCATTTTTTTCAACAGCCTGTATTTTTATATCTGCGCATACATTGATTCATGATAAATCCAATTTTTGCTAATTGCCAAATATATTGGTTAAACGTCAAACTTTTATAGATTACGGAGATTAATAATTATATATCTTACTTCGTCAACATGTCAAGAGCTGCCTTTGACATGCAATAAGTGGCGTGGTCCTTCAATGCTGCCTGACCAGCTTGCGACGATATATTTACGATACTGCCACCGCATTTGCGTTCGATCATGTTTTTGACTACAATTTGGGCTACATTGAATGCAGCTTTCACGTTGATATCGAAAATGAAATCAAATTCCTTGCACGTAGCGTCCACAAATGGTGTTACACACGTGACACCAGCGTTGTTGACCAATAGATCGATTGGCAGGATACTTTGAACAGCCTTTCTAGTTGCATTCCAATCACGAAGACCAACGCAAATAGGTTGAATCTTCGGATCAATCGTCACCAAGTTATCTAAGTTTTCTTTTGTTTTCGAGAGAGCAAACACTTGTCCCTTATATTTAGAGAGACGAAGGGCTATTTCCTTCCCGATTCCTGCATACAATTATGATAAGAAAATAGGTACTTTATCACAAAATAAAATATCTATATATATGTATACAGGGTGTCTATATATAAATGGGGTTCTATATATAAATGTCCCGGCCATATATCTCGGAAACGGCTTTATATATATGGAAAAATATCTCAAACAAAAGTTATAGGACATTAAGCGGAACATATGATAAAAATATGGATTTAATCTTGAGTGATCTTCTGAAGACTAGATCAATGTGACCGTTATTTTCTTAAACTTTTATAGCTTACCTCAAGAGCTTTTCAAAACACTGTATAATAAAATATTTTTTTGTTAAGTACTTTTCGAATTACAGGATTTGAAAGCTACAATACAGCCGGCATTAGCATTATCCGACCGGCGACTAAACTTCTTGAAGTCGCCTGTTGTTTAGAATCATTAGATAATATTTGTCAAGATCAAAGCCATTGGTTGTTGCTCCTATTTTTATTTTTGCATTAAAAATTCATTTTTACGTAAAAATGAAAATAAGAGATAAGAAAATCACCAATGGCCTTGATCTTGATAAATATTATCCAGGTCATGAGTTTCTGAATAGTCGGTCGGATACCTTGGATAATATTAATGCCGGCGGAATTATAACTTTCAATTCTCATAACACGAAAAGTACTTAAAGAAAAAATATTTTATTATAGCGTTTTGAAAAACTTTCGAGGTAAACTACAACAATATGAAATAAAAAATGACGTTTAAGAAAACAACATTGATCTAGCCTCGAAAAGGCCACTCAAGGTCAAATCCATATTTTCATCATATATCCTTAATGTTCTACAACTTTAGTCTGAAACATTTTTTCATATCTAAAACTGTTTCCGAGATACATAGTCTGGGTGGGACTTTATAGACATCCTGTATATATTCGTACTTATAATTATTTAAAAAATCGAAAGCCTCATTTATTTTATTATACGCATTATTACTATCAATTTTATTATATTAGGGGGACCGGAAAGTAATGTCGTTTCTGCGCATATTCGTTTGTCATTTATCAGCTCATTGCGCACTTCAAAGTCATGCCAAAGATATTTTAAGGTTAAACGACATTACTTTCCGGTCCCCCTACTAATAATACGTATTATTACTATACGTATTATTACTATTCAGTCCAAAAAATATTTATCAAAATTGCACGCGAAAAAGAATTTTTTAAATTGTGTGATATCGATTTTTTTAATCTCTCTCTCTCTCTCTCTCATAAACAGATAGACTTATTGTAACCTTTGTTAATAAAGTACAATGTTTTAAAGTCAATGTTAGATATTATTGCACCTTTTTGCTCTTTCATTATTGTATTATTTTATATAATAGATATTCTCGATCTCATTGATTTCAATGCAAACTATAGCAACGGCGATACAATGTATTTAAGAGAAGTACTGATTTTTTTAATTTTAAAAGTACCTTACGAGAAAAATTAACACAAAAATTCAAATTCATAAAATTATATAAATTAATATGGAAAAAAAGACGTACCCTGACCAGCGCCGGTCACAAGAATGCGTTTTCCTTCAAAGCTAATGTTCATGGTTATCGAGCGACTACTGAGCGAATACTGAGTGAATATTGACGTATAATGATGTGTGTAAATTATATCCCCCCTGTTGATTTCATCCTTGATGCTCTTTCTATTGAGCATATGTGAGAATGGAACTTACAAGAGCGTCAATAGAGAGGGAGATAGGGACTATTACGATAAAGCACATTTTGATAAAACTTATATCTGCTTTTCCATTAGCCTGATATGTTGTTTTTTGCTTTCATAGAACATAAAGTTCTTATAACATTGTAAATTTAAGTGAGTAGACGTAGTTCGCAGAAAGTAATGTACGATCGAAAACAACAAATTGTTGTTCATGATATTTTATGTGGAAAATGTCGGGTTTTTTTAGTTTAAAAAAAGCAAGCTTGATATTGAAGACGAAAGCGATAAACAATCGACTTTTAGTAACCCGATAGTATGCAACTTAAGGGGGGAAACTCAAATAAATAGCTAAAAATTCATCAATTTTCGGAAATTTATTGTGAAGAATGTATTGAATCGATCTCTTTGAAATTTTCAGTATACTTTATTATTTATTTATAATTATAAATTTGACAAAAAATTTTATTTTTATAATATATATTTAAATATTAATGTTATAAGGATGTATGTCCAACTATTAAAAAAAATGATGCTTCGCGCCATGGAATGTAGGGACTGCTATTCTTATCTGAAATGAAAAATTCAAAATGGAAATATTAGTTAATGAATATACGCTCAACATGAACCTATATTTTTAAGTTAAAAAAGGCAAAAATAAAAAAATAGTGACATTTCAAAAAAAGCTGCGTTTTAAAATAAATGGTACTAAAAAACAATTGTTTATTTTTAAAATATTTATGTAAAAATAAGTTCGTACTATGAAGAACATACTAGAATATGGATATGATCAACGCAATGCTGCAAACGCTTTGAAGTGTTTTTTTTAATTGGTCAATTTGTAAAATTCTTTTTTCTAATTGGTCCATCAAATGCTTCAAAGTATTTGTAGCGAGATTTCGACCACAGCCTATATGTACGCAAGGAGTAGTTCGTTGTTTAAAAGTTGTTTGAGCTGAACATTTCACGCCGCTCGAAAATTGTCGTTTTGAGAAAAATGCCTAATTTTTTGATAAAGAAAAATAACATTTTTTTGAAAACTTACAACTGTTTTATGCTAATCTGCATGCCAGATCCATACATCAATCCTTTTTCTTTCTCAAAATGTAGTAATAAAGCCGTCTATTGCTCTTTTCGAGCAACTACAAAGGAACTGACAGGAAGAGCGACGTATATAATAGTATGTAATTATATGTGAGATATAATTATATGTGGCACCATATATGTATAATCATATAAGGAACATAAAATGTTCCGAGACGGCAAAATCTGGAAAACTATAAGATTTATAAAAAATATTTTAGATAAAAGTTGTAAAGTTTAAAAAGCCGCTAGCTTCATCAGTTTGACTTTGACGGGTTGACGTTAAGGTATGTCAACTCGGATTTTTTAAGATTTTATTATTTCCCAATTTTTTCCTTCATTTTCTTATAATCCTTGTTGAGACCTTTTCAAAACACTATATTTTTATCTATTTTAGGTTTAGCCGTTTAGAAATATTAAGTTTTTTATGATAAGATGTCAGCGACTGTATCGAACACGAAAACTGTTCACATTTTTGCGTTAAAATTTTATGTTTGTTTAGTAGGTCATAAGCTATAACATATGAGAAAACCATTTAATTTCATCCAATTTCATATATAGGATAGTGCGGGGTCTTTTATTATGTCAACATAATAATTTTAAATATTATTACTGCAGATCGTAATTTTTTAATAGTAATTTTTTTCCCCACTGTGCTCCGGTGCAGTGATCGAAGATTGTGAGTTTTTATACATATTACGCTTTTCGTAAAATGTCGCGCAGCCGAGCCGGATATCTGAGTTTCCCCTACGAGCAAAAACATAATCGATAAAGCCGTAAGGAAAGGTGAGGGGGGGGGGGGGGGGGGCGTTTGGACTTCTCTTGCCGGGGACGCCGTAATTCGTCAGCTTTGGTCTTGCTTTGTTAGAACAGTATCGATTGTTGTTTAATTCTATGTGTAAGTCTATTCCATTGGCATCATGTTATTGGAATTCCGTTTTCTCTCGAGAAATCAAAGGTATAATAGAACAATTCCAAATAGAATCCATGCCAAATGACTCCATAATATGCACCTTAATCATTGTAAATTTCGAATGATTATATATCTTATTTATGAATAATCGCGAACATTGTTATAATCCATTACACAATTTTTTTTTCATTATTTTTTTATTTAAAATCAACGTTTAAATTATTTTAGAATTACTTCAATAATTTTAATAAAAATTTTTTTCCAAAATTTACGCAAACATAAATATCAAGAAGATGTAGAATCGAAAGCTTTTTATTGTGTCATTGATACACGTGGCGTTAGCATAAAAACAAAAAAAGAAGATACACCCTTCTTTCAGTAGGCCAAAACAGATTGGGTAGCAGAATAGGTCTATATTCCCAATTAATGACTGTTATGTTAGCATTTCCAGCTGTGAGCTCCTAATTCTCGGCTGATTGATCGTAAATTCATGGATATTCGTAATCCGTTTAATGTCTTAGATGCTAATAAGGTCCTCTGATTGGGTTATGATTTTTTTAAGACTGTACCTAAGACAGTCTTGAATATAAGATCTGATTATGAATACCGGTCCATAATTATTAAAAAGTAATCTCGAAAAAAAATTCTGTATTAATGAGGTAACTGCTCTTTAATTGATGAAGGGAGCAAGAAATGGAAAATTTTTCCACCGCAATGGATGGTACACTGATGAAAGAAATTATAGATCAAAAAACTTTGAAAGAAACTGGATGTGAACCTAGAAGTTAAGAGATAATCTGATCGCTGACCAGAAAACGCAATGATGATCCTTGCAAAAGTTTGCAAACAGATTTTGATGTTATTTTCGGAACTGTTCCACGATTCCAAACGAATTATAACCATCCGTTATCCCCGGGCAAGGTTAATAAAATCTTCTAAAATAAATAAATTCAATTATTTCAAGGGAGAACTAAAAGACTTTCTTCAGAATATTCTATTTCTCTATCAGATTATATTAAAATATATAAAATTATGTTAATTAATGTTTTATTTCAATATTACCTCTTTTATGATCTTTGATTTGCGATTATCTGATCCACGTCTTTTATCTTCTTAAGGATACACACTGAGAACGCATAATTCCTTTTTCTATTTGAAAAGAGGCTGAAAGGTTTCTCCTGCGTACCTACATTTAAGTTTGACAATTTGTTATTCAGGTTTTCAGAAAAACTATAAAAACTTGGTCTTTACTATGCATTAGGTTGACTAGATAAAAAGAAAAATATTTCTGTTTATACCATTCTCTTAAAATATTTTTTATTTTTCAAATTATATTTTTAACATTGTAAAAGAATTGATTTTTTTTTTACAATCGGTATAATATAAAACATCCGAATTCGCTGAAAATTTATCTTGAAAAGGTCACAAGTAGAAGGGGACCTTACGATCTTTTCACAAGTATTAAAAAGATAAATGTTATTAAAGTAGCTTTATTAAAAAATACATGAAACATTCGAATTTGCTGGAAGTTTATCTCAAAAAGGTCAAAAGCAGAGGATCGATTATGTAATTTTTTTTTTAGGGCGTGAAAAATGAAACGTTTCACGTAAACTTTATTGATCATGTACAATTCTATGGGATCATGTAACTCTCCAAACTGTGAAATTATTCACGTGAACCGCCATATCGAAGTGGCGAAAAGGTGGAACTCTAGAGAATCAATAAATATACTTCGGAATTGTAATCTGCCCGTGACTGTCGTAGATAAGAAGAAGAAAAAGAAGAACAAGATTGTTAATATTGTATTGACGGAAGAAAAGTTATATATAGGTATATACGTGCATATATAAAAAATAATGTCTACTTTGTCAGGGTAAATTACATATATAATCGCTATACGTAAAATGTTTCACATGAAATCTCAATGAATGAAAAATGAAAAATAAAAAGTGAAAAATGAAATGTGAAAAGTTTCACGTGAAAGTATATGATTATTAGAGGGGGACTTTATGATTTTTTCACAGGTATTAAAATGATATTGAAATGATATTAAAGTGATCTTTTTTTTAAATAAACATCGATTCTTTTACAATGTTAAAAATAATTATAATGTATGTGCATACTATTGTTATGGCTAGCGGACTCTCACGACTCTTTTCTCTCGTGGAGATCTGGAATTCGTTAAAATAAAAAGATAGCTGCAAATACCGTATAAATTGAGTATTATAGCCTAGAGAAGATTAAAAATTTTCTTTTCCCACACTAAAAACTAAAACGAAAGATCCAATATCTCTTCGTAATGTCGCTCCGAGATAAACTAAAAATCGGTGCACGTGCACGAGCGGCGGGACCAAAAGTATACCGAGTTTATGCCCCTCGGACACTGCTCGGCTAAAAAAAACAAATAATAATAAATATGTCATTGGAAGCGTAAGACCGGCGCCAAGATAACTTTTTAACGATCAAGTCACGATTCTCAAGTCCGTGATCACAAAATTTAAGAAGCGACACTTCAGACGCGACGCTCAGGGGTAGATTCTGGGTGGTCATGCCGACGCTGCACGTGCATTTTCTCATATAAATTTTAAGATCATAAAATTAAAGATGATACTTCCACACGCTACAGATTCCGATCAATGTCCTTTTCCACCCTTAACCAATTAGAAAGAAAGAAATAGGTCCCCATCACCTATGTCAGATTAGGCTCATTTACAGCATTTTACGACATGTTTAGGAAATACGGTGGCAAGAGACGGCAAATCTATGGTGAAAGTATAAAAAGTATTTTCATTTCGTATCGTTCTGCGCATAATCAGATGAGCTCATTTTTACATCACAGTAACTTTGAAATGACATATTGCGGAGTATAAGTATGTGTCGAGTAAAAACGTGTACAAATAGTTTCCGAAAAAAAGGATGCAGAAATTTACATTTTTTTCGATTTCCAACGGAAAAAACTTAACATAATTACATAGTGACATAGTGCCGACTTCAAATAACCGCGGCAACATGGCGGCTTCTGGATATCGCTCTTCTTATGTTCAAAATGCGCAAGAGCACACTTTTTATACATCCACCATGGGCGAGTGCCGTAGCACACACAACCCAATGAGAAATGATAATGAAATCGACATTGAATTTGACACATACAGTATCAGGCTCCTTCTACCAAGCTGCTCCTTGTCCTGATGAAGTGGACTGCAAGGTTCACGAAACGTTGGCATTTCAAGAATGATCTGAACACAAAGGAAATCCGTGAAATGCATAATCTTTATATAAAAGTTTGTCATGTTTCTATAATCTACATACATTAATTGTTCTATTTTTTCTACGTTTAAATTTAGTCTGCATGATTTAAAATTAGAGAGATTAAAAATGTTCATAGAAAAAATGGAACAATTAATGTACGTAAATTATAGAAACATTTATTATATTAGACAAACTTTTATTATATTAGATTAATATGTGTGTTTGTTTAGAGTATTATTTAATATTTATATTCTTATGTTAATTATGTTAATTTAAAGTTATTCTAATTATAAGTTCAAAATAAGCCACGACATTGTTTAATTTATATAATATACTTAATATGCGAGCATTTTTACTCTAAATTATTTTAAAATTGCACAACATATAATGACGAAAGATCAATATTTTTTTAATGTAAATGAAATATTTTTTTTTTAATTCGAAAAGTAATATTTTCGTGATGATATTGCGTTTATCAAATGCACTTAGTTCAAGTTCAAGTTTATAAACACGTTACATAACACCCTTAGAAAATCGTAAACAACTAATATCTCGCGTTTTGACATGATTTATACTATTTAGTATTAATGAGAGGGGCATATGATTACAATTTATTAAAAGTTACATATTATCCAGATTGTTCCTTAACGATACACGTCGAGCGGTCGAGGAAGCACTTTCAATCACTTGAAATAAGCGCCCAGAAAGAAATATCCGCTCTCTTTTACCACCTGAAGTTGACTGCATCACGACCGCATACGGACGGGGGTTCTTACCTTTTGCTGGATTCACACTTGATCCGATGTGCGTCGTATGTGTCGTACGATACTTTGCAACCAATCAGAAAAGGATTTTGCTTCGTATCATCGATACAAAATAAAATTCTGCTTTTTATTGGTTGCAAAACATCGTACGACGCACGTCGGATCCAATGTGAATCCAGCATTTGTGTGACTCGCTTGCCGCCGTATCCCTTCCACATGCCGTAAAATACCGTAAACATGGAACTAGTGATGACAGTAATCTATCATCATTGATTCTGTGTCATATACGTTTGACAACTGCAATTGATGCACTTGTAATTAGTTTTGCTCATAATAGAAGTATACTTTCCCCATGGTTTTGCTCTCGTTCCGCGTTAGGGCCTGCGCATAATAAAACAAATATTAGGAACAGGAATAAATATTAAGATTTCAACCTATCAGTTACATTAGAATACATGGTTTGTGATAGGTTGAAATCTCAATATTTATTCCTATTCCTAATATTTCCTCCATTGTGCGTAGGACCTTACGCTATTCCGCTGCATAGATAGGCACCCTAATGTTCATGTCACACTACGCATTGGAGATTGAGGATTGCGAATTAAGAAATAGAATCTAACCAATCAGATAGTACTAATTAGGGATGCACCGGATATCCGAAAAGTATCCAGTATCCGATATTAATCGGCACTTTTTTACTATCCAACTGGATATCACTATTATCCGGGGGGGGGGGGAGATATCCGGTTGAAATTTGATATCATTAAATTGTTGATTTTTTCGTATACAAATGTTCTAGAAATAAGTATACATATTCATGATGCTATAATAATATCTTATACATTATCGCAAAATTATAATCTTTTTCTTTATAATATAGGCTTTTTTTTAGAAGACATTTTTTTTCGGAATCCGGTCAGATATTTGGAAAATGTCGGATATCCGACTCGAAGAAATTGCCTTCTCAGATATTTAATGGCTGGTATCCAGTAATTTTACGATTTGGTTTATCCCTAGTTTTAATTTTAATCCGTTTCATTCTAATTGGCTGAATCCTCAATTTGTGTGCAATTCTCAGAGAGATGCCGTCCCATGTACACAGAACAGATTTTTTATTATAAAATTGAGTTCACTACAATTCTGTTCCGTAAGAAATTTCTCTACTCATCCCATGTAACCAAAATGGAATGGAAACAAATGGAATGTCGCCTCGGTCGCAAACTAATTTGCTTAATTTAATCGATACTTCATTATTTTAATGCGACTAAAGCAGTAATTTGTGTAATTATCTTACCTGTAACATTACTTTGAATACTCAAAAATACTGAATTATAAGAGTGAAATATATTTTGTTACCAAAATTTCATTGCATTTTGGTTACATGAGACGGGTAGAGAAAATTTTTACGGAACGGAACAGCATGTTTAACTGAGTTGGTTGAATCTAAAAATTGAAACCAATATTCAGAAACTGTTTTTGTAAATCTACAACGAATGGATGAAGAAGCAGTGTTATTATTAATGTTAAAATTATTGCAAAAAGCAAGAAATGTGCTAAGTTGGCATGCTATTCCGATATTTAAGGCTAATTCTACAATGTACTCTTTGTTTCGTGTTTCTTGCTGTTTGTCTCTGTTTGCTCTTGACTTTTTGATCAATAAGACAAGAGACAAACAGCAAGAAACAAAAAACAAAAAGCACATTGTAGAATTAGCCTAAGAGTGTGCGGAAATTTTATTTTACTTATAACGTTTTATTACAATAGAAGTATACATTTAAAACGAAAATTCTACGTTTCTCGCACTGACTCTTATAGCTATCAGGATTCATCATTTTGTTATTCATTGTTTTATATTTCTTATTTCTCTATAATTTATTCCTTATAATTTATACTGACTACAGATAATTTACTATTTAGACCTGATAACTACTTCAATTTAGACGTATTATTAATTTTCACTGATTAATAGTGAATCTCCTATCAATTTCATTTTATTGTTTGACAACAAAAATTTTGAAATTTTTTGAAGATATTTAATAAGGCCTTCCGCACAAAGTAGATGAAATATAAAGATCAATTTATCTATTTTGGTCTCTTAACGATAGTTTACTAAGAGCGACTGTATGTATCGTTAAATTATTCCTGTATACGATTTAGATTTTATATGGATTTTGAAAAAGACTCTGTGAAGTCAAAACGTTAACCATATTGTATCTTTAAGAAAATACCTATATAGCTTTAAGCATGTCTACATCCTTATAGTTTTGCTCGTCACTATTGTCGTTTCAAATATTTTTATGTGTTACTAAGCAAGAAAATGAGCGATTTATTTATTAAAATATTCGTATTACCGTATAAAAACAAATTCATTGTACTACCGCATTACTACATAACGAATACACTACAGAGAAATTTATTTTGTAAATTTGTCAATATATACATATACTGTATACGTATTTATAAAATTCGTATATTTGTATTTAATTAAAACATTTGTATTTCAATATATATTTAATCGCATACTGTTATTTATTGTGTAAAAATTCTAATTAAATAATTTACAAAATAAAAATGTTTGTAACACCCTTAATTTTGTGCATAGACGTAGCTCGTTGGATACTTCGGAGCGCAAAATAGGATAGGTTCGTTCGGGAGGTGCAATGAATCACAATTCGTGTATTTAATGCTGATATGAAAATAATGGTATTATAATGTGAAAAATATAGTACAGATTGGTACGTGCGTGCGTGCGTGCGTGCGTGCGTGCGTGCGTGCGTGCGTGCGTGTGTTTTTGCGTACGTACAGAAAACGCTAGTCGTGTACCGACGCAAAGTGCGTGCGTGCGTGGGTGCGTGCGTGCGTGCGTGTGTTTTTGTGTATGTACAGAAAACCCTACTCCTTTTCTACCGTCAAGGCCTAGTAGTCGGAGAACCGACAGTCGAGAAAAAAAAAAATATATATATACATAAGTTTTACAAAACATTCACGTGGTTCACGAAAAGTTTAGACAATATTGTATATGCCTCATATAAGAACTATGAGAATTTTAATTGACATTTAGATGTTATATGGAAGTCACATGTTTTAACGTTATCCCAACATTAGCTAATGTTTTTTTAAAAAATATAAAAAATGTGTACAGACTTTTATGTTCTATATGAGCTTTTTCTTCAAAGGTGATAACATTCTTGTACGATTAGTTATCAATGAAATATTTAAAAAATGTTTTAGAGTTTAGACAATATTGTATATGCCTCATATAAGAACTATCTGAGAATTTTAATTGACATTTAGATGTTATATGGAAATCACATGTTTTAACATTATCCCAACATTAGCTAATGTTTTTTTAAAAAATATAAAAAATGTGTACAGACTTTTATGTTCTATATGAGCTTTTTCTTCAAAGGTGATAACATTCTTGTACGATTAGTCATCAACGAAATATTTAAAAAATGTTTTTATTTGGCACATTTTTAGGTATGATATACATTCAAATATTTTTTTACAATGTTGATACATACAATATATGTAAAAGTATTAAAAAAAAACACTTTTTCGAATTTTATGCAATGTTTTGCGAGCAATGATTTATGTTATTCTTACTATAAAAATCGATATTAGATAAAAGAGTATATTTATATGTTTATTCGCATAATATCTATACTTAAACAAATATGTCTTCAAAGGAATCTATAAAACTATGGCATCTTCTTTTTCTGCGAAAAGATATAAGATATATAAGGTATTCCTGTACACTGTGCCCAAATAATGACTGCATCATCTCTCATGGACACATAAAGCAAACTGAACTGTGTGAATCGAAAAGTCAATTTACAATTTTCGCAATAATTAATGAGAAATTAATTCTTAAACATCATTCGTGCTAAATATAAATCAATGCAGGTGTTTTATTTCGCCACTGGTGCATTATCGTTGCTGTTTGTATAATCATAAAAAACTGGCGACATTTAAATGGCCGTATCTTATATGCTAATCGATTATAAACTACAAATTAATAGTACATGGCAATATAACGGCAGTATAGGTATTTTACGTTAAAAAATGTTTCAATTTGTTATATAAAATAGATTATTGGCAGATTTCATCGACTAGATAAATTGCTATTTTTTTTATCTTATAATTTCCTTTTGATTATAGTTCTTCTTTTTTTTCCAAGTTATCAATAAAAGTATCATGAACGAGTTTGGAGTCTTCCGTGTCGCTAATGTGTCCATCCTCGCCGGTATAATGTGACGGATAAATTAAAAGTGGATTTGTAGATAAGATAATCAAATCCCGAGTGGGAAATTGAGCCGCCCACTGTTTCCTATTAAAATGTCAAAATGAATATTAAGACTCATCAAGTCATTCTTACTAAGGATACATTATATAATATGAAATCGCAACTTTTACAACGTTCAATCGAATTTTATGAGATTTATCATTAATCTATACATATATGTATAAATAATTTATACATATATACATATATACATATGTATATATTTCCTGAAATTAATCTCTTTTGGTTCGAATTCAAATATTGATTTTTCCACGAAATGAGATATGTATATACATTTCCTAAAACTTTGAACATCAATCATTTCACATACTCAGGATGCGTATCCGAGAGAATCGGAAGGAATTCATCAACGGGAATTAATTTCTCGAGAGGCATAGCATCGATCAATTTTTTCGCTCCGCTTTCCGACAAGATGTAACCAAGAGTCCAGTAACTATATCCTGCTCGTACCAAAAATTTAGATCCTTCCACTAGATTCTCTGACTTCACCAATTTTTTTCTTCCCATGTATCTAAAATAAAATTGTGAAAAAATGTAACGTGCCAATTTTAGATCCGATGTCTCTCAGAATTAATTTTCCTCAAATAAATTTACTTTCATTGCCATAAAATTCAAAAAGAGCGAGAAAATTATTAAATCAATTTTATCACTGCTATAATTACAAACTAATACAACAAAGCTTTAATTTTTTTATTTCAATCTCTTTTTATTTCAATCTTTTTTCTTCGATTTTTCAATATAACTATTAACAAAATAGTTTGATGAATGTGTACAGACTTTTATGTTCTATATGAGCTTTTTCTTCAAAGGTGATAACATTCTTGTACGATTAGTCATCAACGAAATATTTAAAAAATGTTTTTATTTGGCACATTTTTAGGTATGATATACATTCAAATATTTTTTTACAATGTTGATACATACAATATATGTAAAAGTATTAAAAAAAAACACTTTTTCGAATTTTATGCAATGTTTTGCGAGCAATGATTTATGTTATTCTTACTATAAAAATCGATATTAGATAAAAGAGTATATTTATATGTTTATTCGCATAATATCTATACTTAAACAAATATGTCTTCAAAGGAATCTATAAAACTATGGCATCTTCTTTTTCTGCGAAAAGATATAAGATATATAAGGTATTCCTGTACACTGTGCCCAAATAATGACTGCATCATCTCTCATGGACACATAAAGCAAACTGAACTGTGTGAATCGAAAAGTCAATTTACAATTTTCGCAATAATTAATGAGAAATTAATTCTTAAACATCATTCGTGCTAAATATAAATCAATGCAGGTGTTTTATTTCGCCACTGGTGCATTATCGTTGCTGTTTGTATAATCATAAAAAACTGGCGACATTTAAATGGCCGTATCTTATATGCTAATCGATTATAAACTACAAATTAATAGTACATGGCAATATAACGGCAGTATAGGTATTTTACGTTAAAAAATGTTTCAATTTGTTATATAAAATAGATTATTGGCAGATTTCATCGACTAGATAAATTGCTATTTTTTTTATCTTATAATTTCCTTTTGATTATAGTTCTTCTTTTTTTTCCAAGTTATCAATAAAAGTATCATGAACGAGTTTGGAGTCTTCCGTGTCGCTAATGTGTCCATCCTCGCCGGTATAATGTGACGGATAAATTAAAAGTGGATTTGTAGATAAGATAATCAAATCCCGAGTGGGAAATTGAGCCGCCCACTGTTTCCTATTAAAATGTCAAAATGAATATTAAGACTCATCAAGTCATTCTTACTAAGGATACATTATATAATATGAAATCGCAACTTTTACAACGTTCAATCGAATTTTATGAGATTTATCATTAATCTATACATATATGTATAAATAATTTATACATATATACATATATACATATGTATATATTTCCTGAAATTAATCTCTTTTGGTTCGAATTCAAATATTGATTTTTCCACGAAATGAGATATGTATATACATTTCCTAAAACTTTGAACATCAATCATTTCACATACTCAGGATGCGTATCCGAGAGAATCGGAAGGAATTCATCAACGGGAATTAATTTCTCGAGAGGCATAGCATCGATCAATTTTTTCGCTCCGCTTTCCGACAAGATGTAACCAAGAGTCCAGTAACTATATCCTGCTCGTACCAAAAATTTAGATCCTTCCACTAGATTCTCTGACTTCACCAATTTTTTTCTTCCCATGTATCTAAAATAAAATTGTGAAAAAATGTAACGTGCCAATTTTAGATCCGATGTCTCTCAGAATTAATTTTCCTCAAATAAATTTACTTTCATTGCCATAAAATTCAAAAAGAGCGAGAAAATTATTAAATCAATTTTATCACTGCTATAATTACAAACTAATACAACAAAGCTTTAATTTTTTTATTTCAATCTCTTTTTATTTCAATCTTTTTTCTTCGATTTTTCAATATAACTATTAACAAAATAGTTTGATGATTGGAAAATAATAAATTTTACTAAATATGACTTACATCAAATCCCATTCAAGTTTGAGATTAGACAATTCCGCCAAAACATAATCGACTTTCTGTCGAAAGAATGGCTCGAAGCGAACATCATCCTCCAACACCATAACGCTTTTATAACCGTGCTCTAGTACCTAATAATATATATTACGTCAGTAATTAATTTTTTTTTTCCACTCAAGAGTGCCTTTTATTACCTTTTGCCATACGATATAATGACTCAGAAAACAGCCAATCTCTCCCATCGTCATTGGTCTATGCGCAAAGGAAAATAAATTATTATAGAGAATTATAAAGGAAAGTAGTACAAACGACTTCATATTTAAAGTAAATTTGACAGATCATGTATCATTAACGAACAATCTGGCTGTCTGAAATTTTCTTTTTTAAATTTAAATTTAATCGATTAAATAAAATTTTTTCATGCGTTTATTTTCACCTTTTATGATAAGGATCCGAATATTCGGACATCGGTATCACGCCCCATTTCTTCAGGGAACTCTTGTTCAAAGCCCTGAAATGATAAAAGAGAAATGAGATGAGATTAAATAAATTGGCACAAATTGACGAAAAATACATGATAATGAGAACTTCTTGGAAAAGGTATAACCGAAAAATAAGTTCATTAAGGCAATCTAAAATATATCATTACTCCATAGTTAAACAATGAAATGTTAACTAGAATAGCTAATATATTGATGCCCATATAACTTATACATATAATATGTATAGAAATAAACAAAATATAGTTCAATGTAATATTTAAAAAGCCTTTTTCCTTAAATGTCTGACAATAAATAAATATATATAAAGTAACTTTATATATATTTATTTATTGTCACAATATTTATTTATTAAACTTTATTAAAATTCAATATCCGATTGAAGCTGCGAATCTATCAATTAAAATTGAAATTTAATCGTAAAAATAAATCTTTTAGTATTGTATATAACTGTATTATACATATATATAATTAATTGCCTACAATTCAATTTGTTGTCCAGATAAAAAAAAAGTATTTATAGAAAATTTCAAACCAAACATAAATGAGAAAACAAAGAGCTGCTCGCTGCGTAAATTAAGCTTTCCCTGGTTTGGATTACATACACCTACATTAGACTCCTAATCTTACTTCCGAGAAAGAGATTCCATCCCCATAGGCACTATAATAGCGTTTCATTAAATTTCACACGACGAAACCACCGCAAATTTTACTGTATCTACCATCGACATTAATCGGGTATCATTCGAAAGTGGCATTTTAACTATTTCTTTTGTTTATTTTTAACAGGACAACAATCTTGAAATATTATGATATGAATAAAATTAATAAGGGCTAAACGAGCCATAAGAAAACGATATGAAATAAATAATATAATATATTCAATAAAAATATAGCTACAAACGGTTTCGATCCCAATCGAGTCAGTCTCAATATTAGACACAACATAATATAATGATATTATTGAATTCAAATTATAAATGAATATTATTGAACATAATATTATTGAATTCAAATTATGAATTTTAATTAGAACAAAAATTAAAATTGTAGGTTTAAAAATAATGAAAAAAAATACAGACTAATAACAGATGTAAGGTCGCTAGATTCTATCATGTGATTATCAAGCTGATAAGTCTGAAATGTTCTTTTGCGCAGCATAGATGTTATAGTATATTCCATTATCAATCAATAAGAATATATATACAGAAAATTAACGCTTACAAATGTGTCATAATAATTAAATTATTCCGTGTCATTCTGCCTATTTAGACCTTGTATTTGTTATTTTTATGTGGACCATCTCAGATTATAATATTAATCGTTTGTTGTAAGAAGGCTATCTAAAATTCTTACTTTATTTCAATTAAACTCGTGATTGCAATTAATTTTATTATTTTTTAGTTATTCATCGGTTAGTAATAACCGATGAATCTGTCTTTTTCTTTATATCTGACTTATGTTCATGTAATCTAGTTTTTAACTTTCTCTTCGTTTGATTCACGTAGTTGGCATCACAATCCTCGTAATATATATGTTATAAACAACTTCTTGATGAGATAAGAAATCTAATTGGACTTTGCCTCTTTTAATGTAATTTTTAAGAGTTAGGAAATATGTTAATTTTGAATTCATTTTAAGAGCAATGGGCACAACCAGCAAACAAGAATGGATTAAAATGGATTGAAATTTTTTTCTATCCAAATCGGTATTTTATAAAAAAAAAATATAGCAAATACTTTTTTTGGATTTAATTAGATTCAATTGGATGCAATTGGATTGAAAAACTGCATCTCCTATTCAAAATGTTGAATTGAACAGTATTCACAATGCACAGAAAAAATTAATAATATTATTTTTAGATTGAAAGACATAGAGATATGCTCCATGCAATTCCTATAAATGAATAAAAATGCATTCAGAATTGAAAAGCATTCATTTTAACATTCGTGAATCAATATTTCTGAAAATCTGAATCCATTTCAATTCATTTCAATCCATTCTCGTTTGAAAGCTTTCAGAAACCGACATATAGGATAATATTATAAAAAAATTTTGAGCAATTTTTCTTTTTTTATTGGAAGATTGTACAATACTATTTTTATGAATGTGATAATTTAATCTATTATGTATAATGGAAAAAATGAAGTACCCTTATCGACATAATTTGATTTATTTGAGCTATTCTTTACTATATACTTTATTATGATATACTTTATTTTATATCTCAAGGGAATCTCGAAGCTATTTATTTGAAAAATGATGCTCGATTTTCCGACCCTGTCCATGATAAATTAAAAGAAAATAATAAAATACAAAACTGAAAAAAGGGATGAAGTGTTTCGAAAGGGTGAACCCTTCGATTTTATTGTCGATTGGTATATTACTCTATTTTAATGTGCTACATATGATTACAAATACAATATAATCATAAAAATTACCGACAAGGTTATTTTGGCGGTCATTTGTAGTCTGACTAAGCGTCACTACTCACGTAGTGCTTGTCAATATATGCTGTCGTGCTGAAAGATGGATAAGACGTACAATTTTTTTATGACTTTCCACACGAAGTGACTCCAACCACATCTCCT